CATTTGTTGTCTGTTTGTGACCCTGACTCGAATCGGGACGCGTGTGCTCGTACGTGTTGCTGTTCTCGCGCCGCCCTCATTCAAGAATCGGTTAGACATTTTGTCGTTTGACTGTACCACTCGTGTTGTTCGCGATGACGTTCGCCAGCTGCGTTGCGATAGAGGCGGTAGAGTGCTCGTGCGCTAACTCCGGCGATCCGGTTGCCCTGGAAATATAAAGAGCATGCAACGCTGCAAATGCGAAGCAATTAAAGCGTATATGCCCGCTTTTTACCCGCGATAGAGCTAGATAGCATTTCGCCTCAGATGAGTATTGAATGTAGTTGCTTGTAGCAGTTTCACGTTAATTAACATTAATCACGCGGCTACTTATCGAGATCAGTTATATTGTATCACATTCTTTGGATTTCTCAAATGTACTAACACCGCGCCAATCTATGCACATCCATGCCTCTATATAAGTGCTGACGGCTGCGCGATGCGCGAACCTGTGAGCGCAAGCGTTGACTTCTTAATGTATTTAATTTAGTATCACAAATAATTGCTTCCAGTATTATAGAATCGATAGACTTTTACCTGAGAAAAGATCTTACTGTAAGAATTAGATATAAAACCAATTTATGTTACATCACCCTGTTCACGATTAAAATCTGCTTTAACTAGATTAGGTCGTTCACCGCATGGTGAGGCTCTGCGCAATGCGCAGAAGAAAAGGCTATCACACAGTTCTAGAGTGTGCGGTGGTGACACAGTGACTAAGATGGATGATTCCTTGTCATTAACCAAGGACAGTTAGTGTGTTTATCGGACAGAAACAAGTGTTTCGAAACTAATCGCGACAAATAAAGCAGGTTTTCGTTCGGAAAACTCACAACACTAGTGTGTTTCCCCATATGTCCTGTATATATAGCCCAGATTTTAATGCGATCGTCAACTTGGGCCAAGGACAAATTAATTGTGCAGATGGAACTGTGAGACAATCTGGTGACGATGGCGACTGTGAGACTGTGTAGACAACTGTGTAAAGCGGTTCGGATGAATCATGATCAGACGCGAGCCGCCATCTTGCAGGATTCAGTGGTACATCGTGTCGCGCTCGGACTGCCGCAGATAATACCTATAAACTATTATCTATATATAATAATATATAATATATATAATATATATTATCTATATGTATAATTATATATAAAACCTTGTGACCTTGCCGTTTGTGGTATACGAGTATTTAACAACACTATAACATTATCATATACATTATATAGTACTGATGATATATAATACAATATGTGAGATGCAATGATATAGGATTATATATAATATTATATATATATATATATATATAATTTATATGATGTATCATTCATCATTCTCATCATCATTCAGTGCATCATTTAAAGAAATATAAATGACCCAACTCATTGCCTTGACTGTGTTTTTCTTGCATTCGTTGTTACCCAAAAGAAATACTTTGATAAAATAGGGCAAATTTGCACATTTCCATCGGCATCAAAACAAATGTTAAAATTGAAATAAAAATGAGCTGTCGGAACGCGCTTCAAGTGAGTCTTTGACTTCACCGTCCCGTTAACCCTGCCAAACTGACGCCTAGACGCGATCGAAAATTCTTCAGCGGGGAAGTTCCACAGGGCTTTGTATCTTGTGCCAGATCTATTCGCTCTGACCTAAGAAGAAATCCCCCGATTCCTGTTACAGTAAAGCACGTGGTTTACCCTGACATATATTCGGATTGTAATATCCGCCGACATTGATATTCGCATTGACCCAACGTTCTTCTTGCATGCGTCATAGTAGAGTTACGGTTCTCTGTTATTGAAGGGTATTATTATGTTTTACTGCAAAGCTGATCACTGACATGTAATGATGAGGACAAATGTATATTACGTTAATAGGCAGCTTTGTCCACCTGAAAAGCGTCCAAATCCTTTTGTTTATACATATATTTACGCTTAGCGGCCAAGCTGGCCCAAATTCTGCGGGCGGAAAAATATGTCCAATATGCATTCATGGCATACCACAGAGAATAGGCGATAGAAAAGCGATACAACCATAAATTAGTGGTGCAGAGAATTTAGCCGCGTGACTAAAGCCCCAGAAGAGATTTACCGACATTATTGTGTATCGCGTACCCCTTCCTCAATCTTCAACCCAACAGCCCGCGCGTGATATGTAAGCGCCGCCACATGCGACACGTTATTTTTGCCACCATATACAAGCTTCACTTGCGTCATATGTAATAAGCAGCCCCCAGGAAAGGCCTACAGTCACGATACGTACGTGCCAACCCGAAATACATGCAAGTAACACATCCACTGGCTGCGTCCCCGCTGGCACTGCTCTCGCACGAGCGCGGTATAACGGAATGGCGAAGTAAAGCGCGACGAAAAACATATGTCCCATCTCTAATTAATTAATTAACTTATTAACTAGTTATTAGTACAATTATCTAATTAATAATTAATATAATTATATAATACACCTGTCTCTAAACTAATTCAATTGTTTGAATTAATTTCCTAATTATTCTTAATCTAATTTCTTAATTATCTAGCTTAATTTCTTAATTATCTAATGTATTAATTTACAATTAGTTATTAGAATATATAATTATCTAATTAGTAATTGAGGGTGAAATGGATCGTTGCACTGCGTACGCTTTTGGTGGCTTGCACCAGTACTGCATTCAGGTTCTACTCGGCGCTTATGACCCCCGCTGACTACCATGGTTCTGTGACGCGCCGTTGGGTCATGAGGCCCAGTCGGCCGTCCGGTTGGGTCCAGTTGCTTCGCGACCCGAATGTTCGTGTGGTTGTTCGACCCCGTCGGAGAACGTGCGCCTCTATCGGTCGGATGTCAACTTCCGGAAGGTCTGCTAACAGTGGCCTTCCTTGTTTATCCGGGCCTTCTTTTGGTCTAGGGATTCCCTGTGGTCAGAGGCGATATTCCTCGTAGCGCGAAAGCCTCCCGTAAACAATGAGTGGCCTCGGGTAGAATGCCGAGGGTGCCGATGATAGTTCGATTATCGCCCTGGCCACGGAGTCGAGGCCAGCGTTAGGTAAAGTCAACAGTGCCAGCTTTCATATATGTTTCGCGGTGGCGGAATAATCATATTTTCCGTGACGACCTTGCCTGGGGGAGCATTGATTTTTAAGAGTTGAACGCAACGATGTAACTTTGGTTTACTAATTACGTGAAGTTCCAGCCGCAACAAATATCACCCAGCCAAATGTGACGTAGTTTTCACGAAAGAGTGAGATATAACGGTTTATATGAGGTAAAGTTACGAACGGCAATGACCGCAAACGTGTAAATGTGGGAAGGCTACGATACACGGGATGAGATGAGGGAATGCACGAATACACCCGGGAATAGATGAGGAGGATGCTACCGATACCGAGGGATGAAGCATAGGGGGATGCTACGATTACAGGATGAAGATGGAGAGATGCTACGATACACCGAGGGATGAAGAATGAGAGGGGGGATGCTACGTACACGAATGAGAAGCGGTGCGAGAGGATTGTACGTACACTGGATATGAAGATGAGAGATGTTACGATACACGGATTGAAGATGAGAGACTGTTACGATAGCACGGGATGAAGATGGAGAGAATGCAACGATACACGGGGATGAAGATGAGCAGGATGCTACGATACACGGGGATGAGATGGAGGCATTGCTACGCATACGAGGGATGAAGATGAGAGGATCTACGATACACGGGGGATGAAGATGAGGAGGCAGTTACCGATACCTGGAATGAAGATGAGAGGATGTTACATCACGGGGATGAAGATGAGAGGATGCTACGATACACGGGATTGAAGACCGGGGATGCCACGATACACGGGGATGAAGATGAGAGGATTGCTACAATACACGGGGATGAAGATGAGAGGATGTTACGATACACGGGGATGAAGATGAGAGGATGCTACGATACACGAGGATGAGAGATCGAGAGGAGCTACCGATACACGGGAATAGATGAGCAGGATGCGTACAATACACGCGGGATTGAAGATGACGAGGATTTACGATACAGGGGATGAGATGACGAGAATGCTACGATACACGAAGATGAAGGTATGAGAAGGATCTACAATCACGGGGGGTGATGAAGCATGCACGAGGATGCTACGATACACGGATAAAGATGAGAGGATGCTACGATAATACAGGATGAAATGGAGGGATGCTGAATACACGGATGAAGATGAGAGGATGCTTACGATACACGGGGATGAAGATGAGAGGATGCTACGATACACGGGGATGAAGATGAGAGGATGCTACGATACACGGGGATGAAGATGAGAGGATGTTACGATACACGGGGATGAAGATGAGGAGGATGTGAGATACACGGGATGAAGATGACGCGGATGCTACGATACACGCGAATGAAGATGATGAGGATGCTACGATACACGGGGAATGAAGATGAGAGGATGCTGAGATACAGCGCGGATGAAGATGACGGGATGCTACGATACACTGGGATGAAAGATGGTAAGGGATGCTACGGATACCGGGGATGAAGATGAGAGGATGCTACGATGCACGGGATAGAAGATGAGCAGGATACTACAATACACGGGCGATGCAAGATGAAGAGGATGCTACGATACACGGGGATAAAAGATGAGTCGAGAGATGCTACGATAACAGGGGGATGAATGATGGAGCAGGATGCCTGAGATACACGGGAATAGAAGATGTGAGGATGGGCGTACAATAACGGGGATGAAGATGAGAGGATGACGATTACACGGGCGCATGAAGAGTGAGAGATGCTACGATACACGGGTATGAAGTTGAGGGAAGCTTACGATACACGGGGTGAAGAATGATGAGGATGCTACGATACACGGGCGAGGAAGATGACGCGGGGAAGCTACGGATACACCGCAGGATGAAGATGACAGAGGATGCTGAGATACACGGGGATGAAGATTACCGTTTCTCCTTGGCCGTCAAATCTTATAGCATCCTTTCCGCCGATCTGATCTTGGGGTTGGATTCTCGTGCGAGTCGTTTGGTGTGGCCTCAAATTCTGTCAGGAGACCTTCCTCGATTCGTAGGGCCTTATGAATGCCTGTACGATTCGCAGTTCTGTTAAAGTTACCTGATCCTCTGTTTCGCGAGGTACAAGGCTTATCAGGCGATGCGCTTTGTGCTGGTTTGCCTATTTAGTCAACCAGCCTAAAGTGTGCTCTTCTACCACTGGATCTAAGACATGGCAATTAAAAAAATCTTCAGCCTGTACAACCCAACCTCGACCGCTTGTACCATCCTATTCTAATTATGCTCAATCGATTTTCAAGTAGAATCTCCAATCAATTCAATTCCCCCCCCGCCCCCCCTATTTTTTAAGTAGACTGACTCTAACGATCAATGTGCCTCGAGCCCACAAGGGAGTTGATGCTCAACAGACGTGTATGTGAGCTGGAGTCAGTTAATTGACTGAATTTACGGCCAGTGCGATGTATTTGCCGGTGGTGGTGATGGTTTTACGTTTGCCTCCTGTTCAAGTCTCCATTCGTAGTCGCGCGCAACTCGGTTCATAACGTCTCTGTCGTTTGCCAAACGCTTGACGAGCTTTGCCAGCTCCCCTGTGTCAGGTGTATGAATGAGAATGTATCCCGATAGTGGTTGCGAAAATGTGTAAGGATGTACTCGAATTGAGTTCCAATGAAGCTTGTGAATAATATAATAGACAATGACGACCAGCTACGAGCCAAATACGGGCATTCTAAGCAAATTAATCCCCAACTAGACGGTTATTCCTAAGTAGACGTATAGATAGTAATTTAAACATGCTAGCATTACCTGTGAATAAGCAACGTATCAGTACAATCACGTCTCCCTTACCACTCACTCAGACATAGAAATCCATTTCTTCTCTAGACCCAAACGGAATAAATGCAGCAACGCCGTTAATTCTCATCTTTATATACAGTGCCTACGGTGCTTTTCGAGTATTCGGTATAGTATATTATATATAGTTATATATATACTATATATAATTATAACCACCTATATATATATATAGTATATTATTTATCATAATGTTACATATTATAATTAAAAAGTGAAAGCCCTTTTGTGGTGTCGAAAGTGTCCCCGGTGGTTGGTACTTGCGATTGCAGTTTTCACTTCCAGATAGGCGCTATGATATGCTATGTATACACGCGTCGTTGAGAAACCCAGGCGCACGCACAGGTAACGACGACTAAAGGTGAGGCGCGATCGATATGCTGTACCAGCCACCGCGAATGCTGATCGCTGCACGTAGCACGGGCGTGCAGCGCCAGCCAGCCAAGCCAGACCAGTCAGCAGCCAGCGCAGCCACCACGACTATTACCGCCTGGCTCGCGACCCACTGAGTTGAACCTAATGATGTACCAGCTGATCGATAGATATACTCACCGTTCTGAACGTTCTCGCCTCGAGCAACCTTATCGAGACGATCCTGAAGAAGGATGGCCTGCCTCTCCAGCTGCTGGTTGCTCTCCACCTGGATCTCATAGCGAACCTTCCACTCCGAATCTACAAGGAACTCACTCGCTATATTCTTCTGAAGTCGCTTGCATAATATATAATATATATTTAAATATATATATATATATATTTATATATATATTATAGTATATACTATAGTAATAAATATATATATATATATTTATAAAGACGCTATCGAAAACAATGTGGAATCAAAGCGTATTTTCCGATCTTAGTATACGTGCGCCAAATACAAGAAGCGTTCACGCACTATCTTACTACACTCATTGCTCTGACGTTTCAGTACCTGCGAATTGGCGTTAGTTTCGTTGCGGCAGGACGGCCGCGCGAGAGCTAGAATTCCCCAAGAATCAAGACTGGACCCCTACATCTACACTTCATAAATCAATCAATAGGAACGGTTAAATATTCCACATCGGGGAAATCGCTGGAGCAGATCGGCTATTCCAACAAAATTTCAGAGTCGTTTATGTATCATATATATGTTGCTTTAACCCAACTCGTCCGTGCAGTGGCGCGATGATTCTCTTACAACTCTCCGACAATTCTCACTTATTTTCTCGGTGTACTTCCACCAGTCGGCATGGGCGACTTAGCGCCACCCCTGCGCACCGGTATCTTTGATTGTCGTTTGTGACTGAACTCGAACTCGGGAGCGTGTGGCTGCGACGTGTTGCTGTTCTCGAGCGCCTCATTCAAGGAATCGGTAGACATGTCCGTGACTGTACCACTCGTGTTGTCGCGATGACGTTCGGCAGGCTTGCGATAGAGGGCGGTAGAGTGCTCGTGCGCTAACTCCGGCGAATCCGGTGCTGGAAATATAAAGGAGCATGCACGCTGCAATGCGAGAATATAAATGCGTTATGGCCGCTTTTTTACCGCGATAGAAGCTAGATAGCATTTCGCTCAGATGAGTTTTAATGTAGTTTGCTTGAGCAGTTTCACGTTAATTACATTAATCACGCGGCGTACTTATGAGATCATTAATTGATCAACATTCTTTGGCTTTCTCAAATGTACTAACACGGCCAATCATGCACATCCATGCGTCTATATAAGTGCTGACGGGTGCGCATGCGCGAACCTGTGAGCGCAAGCGTTACGTTTTCATGTATGTAATTTAGCATATCACAAAATATATTGCTCCAGTATTGATAGAATTCGATAGATTTCACCTAGAAAAGATCTTACTGTAGAAGATTAGATATAAAACAATTTATGTTACATCACCACTGTTCACGATTAAAATCTGTTTAACTAGATTAGGTGTCACCGCAGGTGAGGCTCGTGCGCATGCGCAGAGAAGCTATCACACAGTTCGTAGACGTGTGCGGTGGTGTACACGTGACTAGTGGATGATTCCTGTCATTAACAATGACAGGTAGTGTGTTTATCGGACAGAAACAAGTGTTTCGCAACTAATCGCGACAAATAAAGCAGGTTTTCGTTCGGAAAACTCACAAACACGTGTGTTTCCACCATATGTCCTGTATATAGCAGATTTTAATGCGATCGTCAATTGGCCAAGGACCAAATATAATTGTGAGATGAACTGTGAGACAAGCTGTGACTGGACTGTGAGACTGTGAGACGAACTGTGTAAAGCGGTCATGAATCATGATCAGACGCGAGCCGCCATCTTGCAGGATTCAGTGGTACATCGTGTCGCGCTCGGACT